TCTTCACTTTTCTTGAACTTTGGTATTTAGTGGGACATAGGTTCCATTAGGGACAGCTTGTACGGCACCTTTACTTTTTTAAAAATTGTGATAAAATATACAGCACATAAAATTTACCATGTTAACTGTTTTTTATTGCATAGTTAAGTAGTGTTAACTACATTCACATTGTTTTGCAACCAATCTCGAGAACTTTTGCAAACTTGAAACTCTATATCCATTAAACAACTTTCAGTTCCCTCCTTTCAAGCCAGCCCCTGGCAACCACCATTCTACTTCCTGTCTGTTAATTTGAATACTCCAGGAACCTCACATAGGTGGAATCATACAGTATTTGTCTTTTTTGGGATTGACTTATTTCATTTAGCATAATGTCCTTGAGTTCATCCACGTTGTAGCACATGTCGGAATTTCCTTCTTTTTTAAACATAACTAATATTCCACTGTATATGCATACCATATTTTGTTTATCTATTATTCATCCATCAGTAGATATTTCAGTCACTTCAACCTTTTGGCTATTGGGAATAATGCTTCTATGAATACGTGTGTGAAAATATCTCTCTGAGTCCATGCCTTCTATTTTTTTTTTTTTCTTTATTGATTTGAGAGAGAGAGAGAAACATCAATGAGAGAAACATCAACTGGCTGTTTCCTGCATGCTCCCCACTGGAGATCAGGCCCACAACCTGGGCATGTGCCCTGACCAGAAATCGAACTGGCAACCTCTTGGTACATGGGTTGACACTCAACCACTGAGTGTCAACCAGCTGGGCTGAGTCCATGCTTTCAATTATTTTGTTTAAATACCCAAAAGTGGAAGTGCTGGATCATATGGTGATCTTATTTTTAATTTTTTGAGAAACCACCCTGGTGTTTCCATAGCAGCTGTATCCTTTTACATCCACATCGACAGTGCACACATCTTTTAATTCTTCCACATCCTTGCCAACACTTATTTTCTTTCTCTTTTGATGGCAACCACCCTAATAAGTGTGAGATGGTATTTTATTGTGGCTTTAATTGCATTGGAGGTCTTTCTAGATATTCTAATTGATTTCCAGTGTATTATCATTGGGATCAGAGAATATACATGATGTAATTTCACTTCTTTTAAGTTAATTTGGACTCACAAAGTACCATGTTCACCAGAAAAGGTGTTTCTTCTGTAGATGTTGCACATCTGTTATATGAATGTCAATTAAGTCAAGGTGATTGATAATGTTCATATCTTTTAGGACTTTACTGTTTTCATCACATCATTCCATTAGTTGTTGAGAAAAGGGTGTTATAAATTCATTTTAATTCTTTAAATTTTTGCTTCATGTGTTTTGAAGCTTTATTGGGCACATATACATTTATAATTATTATGACTTTCTGATGAATTAATCCTTTTTTTTCTTAATTCTCACTAGAGGATATTTTTTCCATTGATTTTTAAAGAGAGTGGAAGGGAGGGGGAGAGAGAGAGAGAGAGAGAAACATTGATGTGAGAGAGACACATTGATTGGTTGCCTCCTGCATGTGCCCCAACCAGGGCCAGGGATCAAACTCACAACCCTTCAGTTAGAGGGCCAACATTCTAACTACTGAGCCATGCCTGCCAAGGTGAATTAACCTTTTAACACAACAAAAGGTCCCTCTTTCTATGTGGTAATGCTATTTGTCTTGAACCAACTTTATCTGATACTAAGATAGCCACAGCAGTTTCCTTAGGCTCACTATTTGTATGGTAAAAGGTCTGAGGTTTGGAGTTTGAGATGATGTGGGGGTGTCCTTTCCCGGGCACCTTCAGTCTTCAGCCGCAAGGCCAATCAGATCAAGGCCTGGATTGTCTGATCTGCCAGCCCGAGGGAGGGATGAGGACTGGCTCTGTGCAGTCTGTCCGCAGTCCGACTTCCAGTGGGGTCCTCCACATTGACAGCATGGCTTAGGCAGTGGTCAGGGGTTGGGGCATTGTCTTGCCCAATGGCCAGTCTGATAACTAAAGCAGGGATCTGGGGGTCTGCTCTGCTGATCCTGGTGGATGTCCTTCTGTCCCCTGAAGGGGGTTTGCTGACCACTTTGATTACTGGGGGCTCTGATGACAGAGGCAAGCATTTGGAATTCTGCCATTCTTTGCTGTTTAGCCTCTTCATTGTGATTATTAAAAACCTTAAAGGCTAGATTTAGAAGTTCCGTTGAGGGGTTTGAGGGCCATCTTCAAGTTTTTGTAACTTTTTCTTACTGTCTGGGGCCGACTGAGAGATAAATCTCAGGTGTAAAATGACAGTTCCTGCCCTGGCCGGTTTGGCTCAGCGGTTAGAGCGTCGGCCTGCGGTCCCGAGAGACCCGGGTTTGGTTCCCGCTAAGGGCACGTACCTCAGTTGCAGTTTGTCCCCAGCCCTGGTTGGTCGTGCGGGTGGCAGCCACTCGATGTATCCCTTTCACATCGATGTTTCTCTCTCTCTCTCTCTCTCTCTCTCTCTCTCTCTCTCTCTCTCCCCCTCCCTCCCGCTCTACCTGAACAACAACAAAAAAATGTCCTCGGGTGAGGATAAAAAAAAAAAAAAAAATGACAGTTCCTTCTGGGCTAGTGGGATCTAAGTTAGTATATCTTCTCATAGCCTGTGTAAGGCAGGGTAGAAAGGTTGCAGGGTTTTCATTCCTTTCCTGGATTATTTCAGAGTAAAGGATTCTAGTCTTTTATTTATTTGGGACAAATCTGAGAGAGAGAAGGGGACATAAACTCTGACGGTCCCTTCAGCTCCCGCTACTTCCCTCAGGGGGCTAAAATGGGGGCTGAGGTAGGGGATGGATGGGAACAAGAGATGGTTCCCGATAGCGTGTGTATGAAGGAGTTGGAGCCAGAGTAGGAGGTTCAGGGTGGGGTGGGGGCCACAGAAGGGGCTGGAGGAGGAGGCCCTGCTGGAGGGACTGAGGAAGGAGGTGGTGGAGCGAGATCCCTGGGTCAAAGGAGGAAACAGGAGAAGTTAGCTCGCTGTCTTCAGAGGGACATTTGGGAGGATTAGATGCAGCAGGAAGATTTGGGAGGGGGAGCAGGAGTCGCATAAGAGGGGTGTGATCTGAGTGCAAAGGGGGCTAGATGTAAGGAACCTTAGACCATTTTCCTTGCCTTTGACAGAAATTGTCTAGGTTGGTAGAATGTCGAAAGTGTCGTTTCAGGCTATTGTGACCCATTGTGCCACGCAGTATTGCAATAAAAAATGAGTCGCTTGGGACATAAGTCCTGAGTGAGCCCTAGGGTCTGTAGATTTTTTTAGGAGACATCCTAGGGGTGTTGTTGAGCGTTTCCCATGTTGCGGTGTGAGATGTCGTGGCCTAGCGGTCTGACGGATACACTAGAGGAAGAAGAAGGCGTCCCTGCTTCTCCCCTAGAGTAGAGAGATGTGCAAATCACCTATACCAGGCGTCCCTAGACATATGGTGAGCTGAGGGAACCTGGTTCCCGAGGAGTGTGTCCCGACTAGCGCTGGATTTCGAGGGACGATCACACAGACGTGACCAAGAGACCTGACTCTCATGTCCTGTATGGGGGATAACAGGACAGCCCAGAGAATCAGACAGGTAGGCAAAAAACACTCACCAGTAAATGAGTGCCCGGTGTTAATGCTCGATCGGCAGGAAAGGTTGGAGGTCCAGTATCCGGCTGAGGATGTGATCGATCCCAGTCCGACAGGAGGCCCAGAGGACTCCGGATGCCCACGGTGCCCCCTATGCGGGATCCTCACAGACCTCCCGGGTTTTGGCACCAAATAAAAGGTCTGAGCCGGCGGGAGATCACATCCACAACACAAGGCCAGTGTGGAACAAAAGGGCTTTATTGCATACACCCGGGTGCAGGCGGGCTGAGCCGAGAAGGGCCCAGCCTCGAGTCTTTTTTGTTCTCTGGCTTATATAGGCACAAACTACAGAAACTACAAAAAAACTACCTCCTCTTGGCGTCGCTTTTTGGTGCCAGGGCTGATATGAACTGCTACAGAGCTGAGGGAGAAATCTGTTGCAGGGGACGAGATGAGTTTGTTACAGAGACCAGGGCAGTCATTGATCTCTTTCTTTTGTATGGTCCCTCCAAGTTTTCCAAGGCCACCGTTAACCCCCTTATCTTTATGGTTCCTCTGGGTTTCAGTCCCAGGGTTTTTTTTAGAAAACTGCTCGGGTGTTTACATGCAGGAATAACTGGTCAGAATGGAGTTCAATTTTGTTAAAACATTACTAACCCCTTCATATGGTATATCTTTTTTTCATCTCTTTGCATTCAATATATCTGTGTTTTGCTTTTAAATGGCATCTCTAATAGACAGTATGTAATTGGGTTTTGTTCTTCATCCATACTAAAAATTTCTACCATTGAATTGAACTGTTTTGGGGTTTTACTGATATGGTGGAAATGATTCTTACAATTTTATGATTAATTTTGTGTGCACATGAGGAATAAATATATTTTGTTTTAGTATAAAAGACAAGAATGCCGGAACTTTTTCAAACGTCAGTTACTTGCTAGTGCCAAAGGCCAAGGGATAAACATGAAACAGAAGGAGAGTGTGGGGCTGAGAGAAAGGTTCCCATTCTTTTGCTTTTGGCAGCTGGGATGAAGAGAATGTGAGAGGGATCTTGGGAGGGAGGAGAGTCAGGAAGCCACTGATGCCTGTCCCTGCTTTGTCCCTACAGGTTGTGGCTGCCTCACCAACAACCAAAGGGCCAGACAGAGTCTACCAGCAACTAGCTGCCCCACAGGGAGGGAGTGCCAGCCTCTCAGAGAAGTGCCGGTCAGGTACATTCTACAACTGATCTCCAACCCTTACACCCCTTGTCTCCAGTTCCCCAGGAACAGTGATTTAAGTTCCTGGTTCTTCATCCACAGATATTTATTTATTAGATGCCTTCAGTGTGCTAGGCACGGTCATAGTAGAGGCCATGAGGCCCCCTGCCCTCCTGGATCTCTCCGGAGCTGGTATCCAGAATAGACAGATGAACACAACAGATACAAGATAGGAGCCATGAGGACAGAGACTGTGTGGGTGAGGCGTCCCGGGGATGGTGCCTTGATGCAGAGCCGCTGTCTTTGGTGAAGAGAGCCAGGTACAGTGGTCCTGAGAGGGCCCTCCAGGAACTATAGCCCCAGCGGGGTAAGCTTGGGGGCAGCTGGGGTGGGTGCAGAGTAAAGAGGTCACAAGGGCAGTAGGAGCAGAACACAAACCCTGGACATTCTGGAGGGAGCATAGGTTTCCTTTTTTGAGTGAGGTATTCAAGAAAGTAAAATATCTCAATGTTTTAGATTGATTACATGTTGAAATGATACAGTGTTGGATATTTTATTTAATTTTTTTATTAATTAATTTATTTTTGTTACAGATGTTTCTCCTTTTCCCCCTATTGACACCCTCTTCCTGATCCTGCCCCCTCCAGTATATGTTGGATATTTTAGATTTAAAAATGCATAGTTAAAATTAATTGGACCTCTTTTTACTCTTTTAATGTGGCAACTATGAATTTGAATTTCATGTACAACTTATAATACATTTCTGTTGGCAGTGCTGGCCCAAGGTATGAGTGGATGCCCCTGTTTGGATTACACTGACTGATGAGTGGGATCCCTAAGCCACCACTGCCAGCCTCTGGGAGTCCTATGGGGATTCACTCACCAGCTTTGCTTTGTTCCCAGGAGCCTATCCAGCAAAACAGTAGAGATTGTACAACATGCACAGATAACGAAGATTTTATCAATCATTCAAACACCCTCTCTTCTTGCCGACTCTGCTCTAAATGCTCTCGGGGAACGAACATGTGGACCCCATGCCTACAGTTGGGGTGCTGGGCAATGAGAGGATGCTTGTATTGAACGGGGAGTCAGAAACCTGATTTCCAGCCCAGCTTGGTCTTCATCAAACCCTTTTTTCATAATATGACTTAGGTCAATAAAGTAAAATGAAAACAGAAATTATTTTTATAATGCATGCCACAGAGTGGGAACATTTTTAAACCATTAGATGAAAGTGGTGGGAAAATCATCTGTCCCTTGATAGGGGGGTTCTATAGCCACAGCATAGAAGGCATGGCCGAGTAGAAGAGTGCTGGTTTGGAGCTGGGGTGTGGGTCTTGTCCGGGGCCAGATCCCTGTCAGCCCTGTGCTTCCTGGAAGGCGCTCCACCTTTCTCCCTTCGCAGCCCAAGGTCCATCCACGGGGCTGGGTTTGCCGAAGTCACCCGAAGGTTCCTCTCCACCCAGGGTCTCTCAGAGTATACCCCGCCATTCTCAATCATCCTATAAGCAATAGATATTTCCTTCCAATCCTGATGTAATAAATAATGAATTATGGTCCTTTTTATACACCTGGTTATTGGGGACAGGTGAACGATGGTTGTCCTCTTTGCGCCTCACACATATTGCTTCAGTAACTAACCCTCAAATCTATGGCAAACTGAGTGAAGCTGAGTGGGAGGGGGTTGGGTGGTGAAAAGGGGTTGAAGGACATGTGAGGGAAACATATCCCCAAAACCTTATCCTTTGTCTTCAGATGAAGAAATACCTCCATCCACCGGGACTGATGACATACAGTGTCGGTGCAAACCTGGCACTTTCAAGGATGCAAATTCTCCTGAGATGTGCCAGAGGTGCAGCCCTGGGTAAGACACGAGAGCCATGGGGCTCCCAACCACAAAAGACCCAAGTTTTCTACACCTCTTTCTCTCTCCTGCTTCCATGCAGCCAAGCCACCCTCTCGGGGCTTCCTTGGGCCTGTGGGATCTTCTGAGCCTGCAGTGGCCCCTCCTTGTCCATCAGCGTGTCTTCACACTGCCCCCAGCAGCATTCTCTTCCCACATGTCCTCAGCTCAGTTTCCCTTTGGCCAGGTTGACCTTTCCATTGGGCACAGTAGGCAGCTAATTAGGGCCCATGATCCTGTCAATGGCCTATGCAAAGTTTAATTCCTTTTGAGATCAGAAGGAAAGAATTGTGTAGAATGCAGCCATGCTTATAATCATCTTTATAACAATTCAATCATAAAATGTTTTTTTGATATTTTTTTGTGCAGGCATGGGCCCACAAGTACATAAGTGCCCACAGGCAAGTCATAATGAGACTGAGCATGTAGCTCCTTCAGGGTTCTCAGAACCCCTGAGCCTACTTAGCCCACCTTCTCAAAGGGCCCTGTTCCCGCAGTGAGATTGTGGTTTCCCTGTTATTGGGATTTAGGGGGCAATTGTCTTCCCTGACGTTCAGTGTGGCTGTGATTGGTGGGAACAGTCATCAGGTAGAGGACAAGAGGTTCCTTGTATTGAAGGTTGACTAGAGGATGAGGCTCAGCTTGTGCCCAAAGGGCTCTGACCCCTGACTTGGAGTGAGATCCTCCCTCACTCAGGCTCCCTCTGGAGCCCAGGGAAGCTCAGTGCAGGCCTTGCCGAGAAGGCCCAGCTCTTTTTTTTTTTTTTATCATCCTCACCCGAGGACATTTTTCCATTCTTTGTTCAGATAGAGTGGGAGGGAGAGAGAGGAACAGAGAGAGAGAAACATCGATGTGAAAGGGACACATCGAGTGGTCGCCACCCGCACAACCAACCAGGGCAGGGGACAAACTGCAACCGAGGTACGTGCCCTTAGCAGGAACCGAACCTGGGTCTCTCCGGACCGCAGGCCGATGCTCTAACCACTGAGCCAAACCGGCCAGGGCAAGAAGGCCCAGCTCTTGAGGGTGCAGTTCTGAACACTTAGCAGGAGCCCTGGGGCTGCAGTGCCCTGCTCAGCTCTCTCCCGAACCGGCAAGGTGGTGAGGGGACCTGTTGTGTGGACAGAAGGCTGTTTTTTTTCCACTCTCTGGTCAGGAGACACTGGTGGGGGGCTGCTCCCTCTTTCTCTTCCTCTTACCTCACAGAACCCCTCCACATCCTCCCTGTGTCTGAACCTAGGTGCCCTGTTGGCAAGGTCGTGGCCAGGCCCTGTACCCCCTGGAATGACACCGTGTGTGTGGACCAAGAATCGGGTACGCTGGCCCTGGGGGAGACCACAGTTCCTGGAGAGCCAGTGACCACTACGCAGAAGCTACTCAAATCTCCCTCCACAGGCAGTTCACTGCTGCCGCCTGTATCTGTAGTCGCGCTTTTCCTGTTCACATGTCTCGTATGCTTTATCTGTTAAGGTGAGGTTGGTGGGAGACGTAGGCAGGTGCTGGCACTCTCTGCTGCCTCCCTTGCTTCTTGCTTCTTTCTTGAGACAGAAAGGTCCTCCCCTCTGTTTCCCAGATCTTCTGGGTCTTTCTGGCCTGGCCCTTATCTTGTTCCCTTGGATCACCCCTCCATCTCCCACCCCACCTGCACCTCTGGAGGGCCGGGATCATACCAGTTTCCCTATCTTGGGGCTGATGGTCACATCCTCTCCCTGGCCAAGTCTGGGAGGGCAGGCCAGTTCTTCATCTTCAGTGCCCCCAGCCAAGGCAGAGAGATGGTCAGTGCCTCAACTGAGTGTCAGGAGGAGAGGGGCAGGGGTGTTGTTTTTTTTTACAGCTTTGGTCAAAGCAGAACCCACAGAGATTTGGTATGTTTATTTGTACTTCTTTCCCTCTTAATACTGGACACGAGTCTGTAAGAAATAGCTAGTACTGACCAGTACTTGAAGAAGTCCTATCTTCCAAAAGCTCTTGAAATGTCCTAGAACTTTTTCAGTGTACTTAAATTTTATGAAATGTTGTTTTCTATGGATTATAGCTATATGTTCATGTCTTAGATATTTTAGTTCAGGCACTTTTTCATTCCAACAGACTTGAACTTTTTACTTGTTATTTACTGTATTGTAAAATTCATCCATGTTGCTAAGTGTCCATTTATTTATGTATACTGTGATATGTATCTTTTTATTTTTACAGTTGTATGTGAAAAAGTTCATTTTTATATTATTTATTAAATTATTTTCCATGCCTACAACTGTAAACCTACTTTTACCCTACCCTGTATACATTTGTATGTTTGTTTATTGATTTTAGGGAGACAGAAACATTGATGAGAGAGAACATCGATCGGCTGCCTCCTGCATGCCTCCCACTGGGGATCCAGCTCACAATCTGGGTATGTGCCCTGACCGGGAATCAAACCAGTGACCTCTTGCTGCGTGGGTCGACGCTCAACCACTGAGCCACACTGGCCAGGGCTCCATTTGCTTATTCAAGCCTTTATTAATCTGTAAACATGAATTGCACCAGTAATTTAGTCCTTGGTGCTATTATAGGTCAGGTACTTCCTGCCTTTGCTGTTCCTTTTGTGCAGGACACTTTGACATCATTATCTTCAGATGAAGATAATGACTTTCTGCCAATCAGGTTTCAGCTTAGTCGTCTTTGTCAGAGAACTTGAGTGTCCATCTAAAGTATTTGCTGTATCAGTATTTGTCCTGTTTATTTATTTGAAAGGTCAGTTTCATGAGAGCATGAAATTGTCTTTATGTTTTATATCCAGTCCAAATAGCACCTGGCATATAATAGGCACTTAATAGTGTTTCATTAGTCGTTGGGTATTTTTTCATGCTTCTCTCCAGTGGAAGGTGCTACTTTTGAAAAGTTTGTTGGAAATATCAAACAATGGAAGGGAGGCCATTAGATATAAAATACTCATGTATTTATGAATTCATGACCAAATTAAATATGAAACGTTATATAAAAAGAGTGTGGGTTTTGTTTTTTGTTTCTCTCTGCATTCTCCTATTCCCCTCTGGAACAGCTCTGAGTGACATGAGTACAGGGCTGTGCATTCTTGATGTGGGACTTGCTCTTTCCTTTCTCACATGCCTTCCGCCTTGCTCCACATGGCCAGGTTTCCTGCTCTGACTCTGGATTTCCAAGTGTCAGGTCTGTGGGGGACTGGAATTATAGCCCTCTCCCATGTCCTTCCCCCTGGGAGAGACCCCCAGCCCCAGCCTGGCTCCCCAATAGCCTCCCCAGGTGGTGTCTCTGGGTTACACCTGGGCCTACTGGGCTCCCCCATGGTGCAGACCAGCTCTGACGAGTTGGGAAGGGGCAGTGGGTCCCTGAGGGGTGATAGGGCCTGGTTGCTGGTGGACCTGTGGCCCCTGTCCTGTGGGCTTCCTGCACCTCCTGGGCCACCTTCACTTTGTCCCCCACAGGCTCATGGACACCAGTTCCGACTTCCCTTGGACTTCAGGCCCTGGCTCTCCCTCTCACCTAGAGTTCCTGGGAGGCCCTGTGGCACCCCTCTGGCTCCTTCCCCGGAACAAAGGTCCAGGCAGAGCTCTCCCACCCTGCGCTAGCAGCCACCCCCATGGCTCCTCAGTCTTCCGAGGCCATGGACCGCCAGCAGAGAGCAGCACCTGTCTGGCGCACCCAGCCACCACCCTGGAGGACTTGGAGGGGAGGCAGCCAAGGCCTCGGTGAAGTCTGGGGCTCAGACAACATGGGTCACAGCCACGCTAGGCCTGCCTGGCCTGCCACCTCCTGCTTCTTTTGATGAAGACTTAACCTCAAATTTCTAGGTCTTGGCACCACTAAATTGTTACAAAGGCTTCCTTTGTTTCTAAATTTGCTCTTTCCCAGACCTAAAGCCAGTCCCTCCTTCTCAGACCAGGAATTCAGTGTCTCTCCGGCTCCACCATCATCAAAGAGGTTCTGTCTTTTCAGTCTAAAAAGGATGTGGGAGTCAAGTATGATCACTGGCCCACTCTCCCCGGGGGCTGCAAGCTGCTGTCCTCATCCTCGTCTCATCCCGCCCCTCCCCTGGACGACGGAGCTGCTGCTGCTCGGTTCTCCTTTTTCCGTCCCAAACCAGCACTAAGGTGGGTGCTGTCCTATGACCCTTCATTACTGAGATTCCTATTCCCAAATCAGTGACCTCCTGACCCTTGACCCCTACTCCAACCCTCCCTCCAAAACACATCCTATAGTCACCTCAGGAGGTGAGGATAACCTGATTCTCATGATGGGCAACAGTAACTATCTAATGCCATGTTCAAACCCTGAGGCCACCCCTTCCTGCTCAATCCCCACCCCCAAAATCTCAACCCCAGCAGGCTGAAGGCATGCGACTTGTGCTGCCCTGCACAGCCGGCCAGCAGGCCAGGGCATTTTGAGTGACAGCCAGTGCCAGAGTCCCTTCCTGATAGGCACTAGAAACAATTCTATAATCTAAACCTTTGTCTCATTAACGTGGGGGCCCCTGTTTGGTTTTATAAAAATTTAAGCCATACAGGGTCTGTTCTTTCTTCGAGGGGATAGAGGCTAGAGTGTTTCTGTTGGTGGTGATTTTGTTTGTTGCTTTTTCTTTTTGCTAATTTTTTGTCCCGCCCCATAAGAAGCCATGCTAACTAGAGGCAGGAGGCAGAGCTCAGAGAGCACAGGATCATCGCTGCGTCCAGACCCCATCTCCCCGTCCTTCTCCCCCCTTGTTCCAGCTGTTTCCTTTGGTTCCCATCTCAGAGTGGTGAAGGAGAGGGGAGGGAGAAGTTTCTCATTGCTCCAAGAGGCCCTGCTCCCAGGCCTGGAGCTCTGAACAAACTCTACAACCCTTAACCAGGCCTGGATGCCGCCAGCCCTGGGGGGCATGCCGGCTGAGCGTAAGCCTTCCCAGGTGTGGCCTCAGGCAGCTGCACCAGTAGAAGTAGAAGTAGAAGCCGTGAGCTGGGCTCTGAAGACTTAACGTCTACCCTGACTTCTCCAGTGAGGATCTGAGTAGGCTCCATGTGGAAATGCCCACAAAACATTTGCAACCCTCCAGTCCATTGGTGGAAAAATATGGCCAATAGAGGCAGGACCCTCCTGGGCATTGCTGCTCAGTGGCAGGGGGGCTGCCTCCACAGACTTCAACTCTCATGGCTGGAAGAGTTTTCCCTTTGACTCTAGGGTTCTGCAACCCAGAGACAAAATGCCAGTGCTTTCACCTCTCTCTGGCTCCGACCTCCCAGGAGCTGTCCCCTGCCCTGTGTCAGACCTCTGAGGGGGGAGTCTCTGTTCTGATCCACAAGGCCCGGCTCCTCTCTTGCTGAACTATGCTGGCTGGTGAGAACCGCTCCGCCCTTAGGGTCCTGGTTATGTGGATCCCCTTGTCCCCAGAAGGTGGAGGGGCGATGCAGAGAGCAGAGGGGCAAGGGCAGGTGGGCACAACAGCAGCAGGGTCAGAGAGGGTGGCAGCATCTCAGACCACAGCTGAGGAGGAAGATGGGGATGACGAGGAGGCCGCAGAAGAGGATGGCGAGGAGGGACTGTTCCAGAACAGCCACCGCCGCTTGGGCTGCCGTTTCAAGTGGAGATAGTCCTCCTTCTCACGCTCCTTCCGTGCCCGCTGGTAGTGGTCTTCCTCCTTCAGGTACCACACGGGTGGCCACCGGTGCTTCTCAAAATACTCCTGGTTTTCTGGAGCAGAATGCAGTGGGTTGGTTAGAAGGAAGACCAGAGAAAGGGGCAAGAGGAGCACTGGGACAAGGGGTGTCCGGGGACACCCACCCCACCCCAATGCCTCGGGCATCTGCAGATGCCTCCTGTCAGTAAGGTGCACATCCCGGGCCCTGGGGCCACAAGTGTAAGCCCCACCTTCACAGAGCCCCACCTGACTGCAGAGCGCCCTAAAGAAAGACCCATGGGAAGGCCTCAAGGGGAGCATCCTGTGTATTGGGATGAAACCGGCTGGGTGGGACAGGGCAGGAGGACTGAGCAGGTGCGGCATGGCTGGGGACAGGGCAGCGGTATCTGGCAGAGCTGAGGTTTGAGCTGAAGGTGGACGTGGGGCTGCAGAACAGGAGGGTCAGACTGGAGGAAGCCAGGCTGAGGGTCTCACTGATTCTGAAAGGTGTACAGAGCCATGGGAGGTTTGGATCCAGGGGAGTGACAGGATTGGAGCTGTACTTTATATACATATTTTTTATCCTCACCTGAGGACATTTTTTTTTTTTTTTTTGCATTTCAGATGGAAGGGGAGGGAGAGAGGGAGGAAGAGACAGAGAGAGAAACATCGACGTGAGAGAGACACATTGAGTGGTTTCTACCCACAGGCACGAGACAAACTGTAACTGAGGTATGTTCCCTTAGCGGGAACTGAACCCGGGACTCTCCGGCCTGCAGGCAATACTCTAACCGCTGAGCCAAACCAGCCAGGGCTGGAGCTGTGCTTTAGAAACAAAATGTTAGAAGGCTGAAAAGGAGAGAATGGGTACGGTGCAAGACCCTGGTAACGGAGGCGGCTCCCAGAAGGGTGGAAGATGCCCAGTGAAGACCTCAAGGACACTGAGTGGCAGGAATTCAGGGAGGCCAGGGACACCGCTCTCTGGTGCCTGTACAGTTCTAGGACCTGACACATTAACTAAGAAGAGACCGAGCCTGGCTGGTGTGGCTCAGTGGTTGAACACTGGCCCATGCACCAAGAGGTCGCCGGTTCGATTCCCGGTCAGGGCACATGCCCAGGTTGTGGGCCTGATCCCCAGTGGGGGGCGTGCAGGAGGTGGCCAATCGATGTTCTCTCTCACGATGTTTTTATCTCTCCTTCTCCCTTCCTTTCTCTCTCTCTCTAAAATCAATAAAGAAAAAAAAAAAGTTATAAATAAAAAAGAAGAGGCCGAGCCCCTGGGAACTCAGAGGCTATCCAGACTTGGTGTCCATGCTGTAACTTATGCCCATTCCTAGGTTGTGAAAGTGGTGTAGCAGGTCATAAGCAGAACTACAAACAATTTATGTATTTTTCTACATGGGTACTGGATCACAATATAAAATGTAGTGTTTTTTATTCCTTTGATTTTAGAGAGAGAGGAAGGGAGAGGGAGAGAGAGAGAGAAACATCAATGAGAGAGAACATCAATTGGCTGCCTCCTGCACACCCCACACTGGGGATCGGGCCCACAACTGGGGCACATGCCCTGACCGGGAATTGAACCGGCAACCTCTTGGTGCATGGGTCAACACTCAACCACTGAGCCACAGCAGCCGGGCTAAAATGTAGTTCTTATTGTGGAGTGCTGTCCAAGAAGTCTGAAAAAATACCTCTGCTCCAAACACCCTCTTTATCCCTGAGAGAGAAGCCTAGAGAGGTAGAGTGAGTTGCCATAGGTCCCCAGCTGCCCTGCCCACCAGGCTGGCGCTTTTCTCGGGCCCCCCTCTGCAACTTTGCAGGTGACTCCCCTCCTGCAAGGTCAAGTTAGGCCCAAGAATCTCTGGCAGCTTCCGGGTGCTCTGGTGTCAGGTCAGAGATTTGGACCCAAGTTGAGGCCCCTTCAGCGTGAAGTGGGGGGTCAGCAGGTCCTGCCGGGGATGCTTACCTGGGGACATGGCCTTCATGTCTCGGGGGAACTTGCGGCACACATTGTTGTAGTTGGTGCAGATGTGGTGGAGACACCAGTCCGCCAACTGGTACGCACAGTGGAACTGGGGGAACAGAAGGGCGCCTGTGCTGGGACCCCAGGGCGGGGTCAGCACAGGCAGCTTCAGAGGCCTCAGTGCAGGTGGGCAAAGGCTCTGCAGTGAGTGGGGAAGAGCCCACCTGCAGAAGCACTCCCACACAACACTGTGAGAAGACCACATCTGATTGGCTCTAGGTACCGGCACCACCACCACCATCACCTCGCCTCTGTCCTGTGCCAACATCCGTGGAAATCCCTAGCCCTATGTGGTGGCTTCCCTCTGTGGCTGCCCCCCTCAGATTTTACTCCAGCTGATGTTCTTCTCTTCCCTATCAAGGGCAAAAGCGTCTAAGGTGTTGAAGACCAAACTTAGGGCTGCCTTTTCCAGGTGTGCTTGCAAGCCTCGAACCTGCCATACTTTAACTCCACAACTCATCTTTAACAGTAGAATTTCTGACACTCTCAGGGCCGGTGTGGGAGATTTTGCTAGTTTGTATGGGAATGAGGAGGTGGGCAGTTGATTTTAGATGGGGTGTCCTCAATGTCCCTTAACTGATCTCAGGCAAGCAGTAACCATGTCTACACATGAGGCTGGGGTTCGCTGCCCTGCCCTGTGGCTTCCTGAACCCCATGCCCGCACGGCCAGCCTCTCCTCTTGGCATGTCAGGGTGCATCCTTGAGGATGAGACAGATTCTACCCAGTCAGGGAACTGAGTCTGACAATGGGTTCCTTTCCTGCCCACCGCCGCCAGCCCCTCCCCATTTGCTGCTAATGGGCAGACAGAACCCAGAGTTGAGCCTGTGGAGAGGTTCCTTCCCTTGCCATCATACCTGAGCCAGTTCCAGGAACACAAGGACGTCCCCATCGATGTCCACCATCATCTGAGTTGCTTCCATCAGCCCAGTCACTGTGTACTGCTCTGTGACAGACACAGCCAGGAATCAGCTGAATTACCACAACGAGTGGATGTGTACTCACTTATATGCCCCCAGCAGGGGCCTACTGTAGGGCAAAGAGAGATCAAGGCCAAGGGCAAGTCCCAACAGGCCCAGGAAAGCCTGCTCCCACCAGTGAAGAGACTAGAATTAGAGCAAGAATGCCCAGGGGAGTAGCGTGGGGGGTGAAGGAGAATACCCGAGTTGTCTAAGAGGGTTTTTTCAAGCCACACGTGCCGCAGCGAACAGTCTAGCACACACAGGGTGAAAGCCCCTGATGGAACTGGCCACTGAAACTGCCGCGATAGTGTATGAAGTCTCAGGTTTGCTGAGAACTATGAGTTGGAACTACAGATTAAACCCAATTGCATTAATTTAAATTTTATAACAAATTGTGTACTGATGTTGCATTTTAAGTTACAGTGTGTATATGGATGAAGTAAACACTTTAAATCCTGAATTTTAACAGTATCAGTATAAACTCCTGAGGTATTTTATCTTTAAACTTAAAAATATATCTGCCAGCGCAATCCATGGAGAAGACCTAGCAACAACAGCCATCGCCGCAGCAAGGAGCATTTCTAATGCACAGGCTGCAGCCTTGAAATGCCATTTCCAGCCATCGGAAACCAGGATCTCAGAGAGCAATGGCTGACTCCAGGTCTGGGGCAGGAAACGAACAAGAGGAACCTGGAACATCTTGTCATTCCATTTAACCAGAAGCACAGAGGCTCTGGAGCCAACTTGGAGAGACTTCTACTGGTTAAAGGTTCAGTACAGTATTTGAGCTTCCAAAAGGATAAATGCAAACATCTGAAACCGATCAAGTACATTAAAATCTAAGGGTTTATAATAATAGTTAAAAATAAAAGAAACTAATTGGTGACCCTCAAAGGATGAAAGGATGATAGGAAACAAATGTATCTTGAAATCTGGTAAATAAAAGGAAAGAATCAAGCATTCACCTGCCTTTCCTATATGAATTATATCACTGGTTAACCAAACAGTAGGTGAGAAGTTTTTCTCTTTATAGAGTATCCCAACAGATAAACAAAGAAGAAATGACTGAACTGGAGTATTACCATTCATAACACCTAATAAATTAATTAATGGGTCCAGGCAATGATACTCAATGGTTGATAAAATCACAGAAAGCGAGAAAAGCATAGAACAACTACGAAGTACTCTTACCAGAAGAACTGAATGTGAACCAATAACCAGTTTATAGGAAATATGTGGTCTACAGAAATACAATCAGCTAAAACCTGGATTTTCTAGATCAGTGGGTTTTTTCCCAACAAATAATTGCAAGGGAAAAATTTTCTCTCTTTTTTAATCCCCACCTCAGGATATATTTTTACTGATTTTAGAGAGATAGAAAGGGAGAGAGAGAGAGGGAGAGAAACATTGACGTGAGAGGGAAACATTGATCAGCTGCCTCCCAAATGCACCCCTACGGGGGAACGAACCCAAAACCTGGGTATGTGCCCTAGCCAGGAATTGAACCCATGACCCTTTGGTACATAGGACAAGGCTCCAACCAACTGAACCAAACTGGTTAGGGTGGGAAAAAATTTTTTTAATGAACAAGCTACCTGCAGATTAAAAGAAACTTACAAGTTACATAAAAAAATAAAACCATGCTATATAGGGTTTAAGGATGTACACTTAGATGATAAAACTATGAAGAAAAGCAAGGAAGTGAGGCCATATAAAGCACCCCACCTCAAAATAACAGGCCAAGTGGTAATTCTTGGGGAGAGGGAAGGACTGTGATTGGGAGGGATAGGTGGGAGGCTTCTGGTGTGGTCAGCAGGTTCTAGCTCCTCATATGGGTCATTTTGCTTTATAACAATTCATTCAGCTGAACATATGTGTATTTGTGTTATATTTAAAAAAGCTGTAAACTTGAATTTATAACTTCAGAAAAAGCATATCTCACACTCATAAAGCATCACCAACTATACCATACCTGGCATTTTCTGCTGATCCTTGACAAGGTATATAGAACACATATTTGTATGTTTTCTGGTATGCATAGACCATTTCATGGGAAAAGTCATTCCACATTATTTTCTATGAGAGTTTTCATGCATCAGTGCCATTTAACATTTTTAATGGCTACCTCGGGAAAATTACCCATATGTGCTTAATCAATAGTGCCTATGTGACTAATCTCTGATTGCCTGCCATGATGAAACAAACTTATAGAAGCATTTTTATACACTTTTTTCCTTTGAGTCATTTCTTTGGAGATAGTCCAAGAGTTTGGACAGCTTTATGCTCTGGGAAGACACCACTTTTCACAGACAGTGAGTCAGTGAATGACATGCTGGTACAGCGGTGATCTTTAGAAGCCTCTCGTGTTCCCTGCCCTTAAGCCCTCAATGTCCCCGCTGAGCCCCTGGACTCTGCCTGCCTGCTCAGCCCTTAACATTCCAGTTCTGATCAATGATTTCTGCCTTCTTCCTATGACAAAGCCCCACCTTAAAACCATCTCTCATCGTAAGATTGATGTTTCCCTCATATCTGAGTCCCAAATCTGATCATCTGCCCAGGCCCCCGCAGTTCTGACACTGGGGCCTTCCCTGAACCTCAACTCAGTATCAGGGCTCTACTCTGCCTACCTGTCAACCAGCCCGAAAGTGTAACCCTGACATCACTGCAGTCTAGATGCCAACACCAATACCACACGAATTCCAATTCCGACATCATCAGGAGCTGTCTGCCTGCACTGCTGGCCCCAGACTCTCTTGGTCCGGATGGCACCATTTCTCTCCAGCCCCTTGACCTGACTGCCCAGCGCTTGGCTTCCCTCTTCCCTCGGTGACTCCACTAAGGGCTCCTCAGGTTGGTCCCTTCAAAAAGCTGAGCTCCAGCCCTGGCTGGTGGCTCAGTTAGTTGGAGCATCATCCCATACACCAAAAGGCTGCAGGTTGGATTCCGTCAGGGCACATTACCCAGTTGTGGGCTCGATCCCCGGCGGGGAGCATACATACGGGAGGCAACTAACTGGTATTTTTCTCTCATGTCAATGTCTGTCTCTCTCAAATCAATAAAAAAAAAAAATCCTTGGGTGAGAATTAAATAATAATAATAAATAAAATAAAAGCTGAGCTCCAGCTCTCACAATCTTTTCAAGGAATTAGGAGTGGCTGGTCAATGTTCAATGTTTCTGGAAGAAGAAAGAGAAAAGGAGGAGGAAGAGAAAAGGGAGAAGGAGAAGAGAAAAAAGGGGTTATAGAACCACAAATAAAGCAGATTTACATGACCGAACAAAAGAAAAAAGGAGTGGAGGAGCCCTGGCCAGTTTGGCTCAGCAGTTGAGCATCGGCCTGCGGACCAGAGTCCCTGGTTCAGTTCCCACTAGGAGCAGGAGGAGGAGGACCAAAGGGCAGGAACATGCACTTGCACCCTATTCTCTCTGACTTTTTTTTTTTATCCTCACCTGAGGACATTTTTCCATTTTTTGTTCAGATAGAGTGGGAGGGAGGGAGAGAGAGAGAGAGAAACATCGACGTGAGAGGGACACATCGAGTGGCTGCCACCCACATGATCCAAGGGCCGGGGACAAACTGTAACCGAGGTACGTGCCCTTAACGGGAGCCGAATCTTGGTCTCTCTGGACCACAGGCGGACGCTCTAACCACTGAGCAAACCCGCCAGGGCCTCTCTGACTTCTTAGGCCCGAGTGAAGCCAAGTGGAGAGGGGCTTCTACTGGGGACTATTTCACTGGGAGGAAATCGCCCTTGGAACTAACCAACTGGTGACGTCATCGAGCATCTTTCTCACAGACACTTCACATCTGTGTCCTTACCTACCTCCAATATGCATCAATAAGCTTCACTTCATATAAGTGGGCCCCTTGGTGCTAGCGGTCTGTGTCCAAGGAGGAGACAGGTGAGAGGAGTCGCCACTCCTGGAGGTTCCCCTGGCTGCTCCCCAGGGAGGTCTGCACACCCAGGTTAGTTACCTGTGAGGGCAACCAGGTGCGGCAGGCAGAGGCGGTTGGCCAGGATGATGAGCTTCATGTCATCCAGGTCGGGGCTGGCGGTGAACATGCCCGTGTACAGGTACTCCAGCACTGCCCGCATGCAGCTCTTGCTCGTGTGAGGGAACACCACCTGCACAGAGGAAGCCGGCAGCGCAGTGAGGTCCAGCGACCAGAAGGGTTCCTCAGTCCTGAGAAACGCAGAAGGCCCTGGACCACACAGCCGGTCTTCCCAAAATAGGCAGCCACCCCTGTGCTGCCCCTGTACCTGCTGAGGAGCCCCCCAAAGCCCTGTCTCCCAGAGTGGCAACCTGTACTAAGCCTATCTGCTGGCAGCACCAGTGACCAGGCCTCTAACAGCTTTTTAAAAAATATTTTTTGTCTTTATTGATTTTTAGAGAGAGAGGAAGTAAGAGGGAGAGAGAGATAGAAACATTGATGAGAGAGAAAACATTGGCTGCCTCCTGCATGCCCCCCACTGATGATTTGGCCCACAACCTGGACATGTGCCCTGAATGGGAATCGAACTGGTGACCTCTTGGTGCATGGGTTGATGTTCAACCACTGAGCCACACTGGCCGGACTCTAAAAGCTTTTAAAAGGACCTGGATTCTCACTGGCATCCTTCCAAAGCCATTCTAGCTTGGAGGATGCTTGAAGGAGTCCTTCCAGCCACTAAACCTACACCCTGGCCCCTCGTGGCCCTGCAGGGAGCAGTACAAGTAGGATACAGGACAGTAAGCCAACAGTGGCTGGCTTCTCGAAAGCTGCTACTTTGGGCCTCTGGGATCTCCACAGAGCAGCGCTGCTTCAGAAACTGCTCTCCCACCCGATCGCTGTGGCTCAGTGGACAGAGTGTCCTCCCAGGGGCTGGTTCGATTCCCAGTCAGGACACATGCTTGGGTTTTGGACTCGATCCCCAGTAGGAGGCATGCAGGAGGCAGCGATAGATGTTTCTCTCTTTCCCTTCTTCCCTCTAAAAAATCAATAAAAACATATTAAAAAAAAAAAAATCAACCTCCCATTAGATGAAAGTCTCTCAGGCTGCACTGGGAATTGACCAGAGCTTTAAAGCTGCTTCTGTGCACTGAGAAGTGCTCAGGACTGTTGGCCCGGGGTTCCCAGTCTCTCACTTAGCATATCCCAATCCCATTCCTGCTGCAAGGATCAGAGATCGACTCAAATCTCAAGCCTCCCCTTCCATAAGGGCTTCCTTCCCAGAAATCCTAGGAAATTCCTATTCCACATCACAGGAATTGCTGTATTGTCCTTAGCCTAGTTTTTCATTCAGGCACCTGGTGAACACTGACCAAGGGGCCAACGCTGGCTGAGGGGGCACTTGGCAGCAGTAAAGACCTAGTCCTCACACTCGAGACATCACAGGCCAGTTGGGAAAACTGCGTGTGGACACTCAGCACTTTAAGCAGCTGCACAAGTAGTACCTTATTAACTACAGGCTGAGCTAATAAATAATTAACATTATAGAAGTTCAGAGAAGATGGAGAATACCAAGGACTGTGGCCCAGGCTACTTTGCTTAGCTGCGAGAATGCAAAGAACAGATTTAAGAGAGTATTTCTAAGAACACACCGATAGGCCCCTTCCAATTCTGTTGACACTCTCTGTGGCTAAGATGAGTTAGAGTGGCCATTATCAAAGGGGAAGGTGACTATATGAAGCATTTCTTTTTATTTTCTGTATTTTGATGCTTTGTCATCTGCAGCCTTGATGACCCTGGAGGGACTGCCCTTCCCAGGCTAGACAATTCCTAGAGATAGTAAATGTATCGCCTGTAAGCAGGACTTTCTGTTGTCGTCATTAATCCTCAGTTGAAGATATTTTTCCATTGATTTTTAGAGAGACTGAAAGGGAAGTAAGAACAGGAAAAGAGAGAGAGAGAAATATCGATGTGAGAGAGACACATCAATTGGTTGCCTCCTGCATGACCACAACCAGGGCCAGGGATCGAACCTGCAACTCAGATATGTGCCCTTGACAGGAATCAAACCCGACACTCTTCAGTCAAAGGTCTACTCTTCAGTCAAAGGTCTTTAACAGGTGAGCCAAACTGGCCAGGGCCAAGCATGCCTTTTGAATACAAACCAACCAATCCAGAATCCACACCTCCTCCATCAGCTCTCCCTCCTGGTCACTATTCACCTGCCCCAATCACCCCTGGGCTAGGTACCAGATGACTAAGAACAGCCCCTATGCCCCAGGGCCTGCTGAGATTATTCTAATCAGTCAATCTGAGAGTTTACCCTGCCTCTCCCTCCCCTTCCTTCCCACAGAGTCCACAATGAAGGCTGTTGCCCACAGTTCCCTTTGCTCCCTCTGCCTCCTGACCAACCCTGGTACCTCCGCAGTGCTCTGCCCCCATCCTCCCCTGCGGGACACGCCTCTCTCATTAGATCTGTGAGTGTAACAATCTATCTTTTCAGTGGCAATTCCCTCCTGATCTGTTGTCATGTTCACCGTGCCTCATAATAAAACTTACATTTAAAAACAGGATGGGTTCAGCCTGGGACACACTAAACTTTTCTCTAGTTGTTTCACATGCGTCAGGGAAAGAGCACGGCACAAGGCACAGAAAAGAATCAGAGGTCTCGCCCTGGCCGGTTTGGCTCAGCGGTTAGAGCATCGGCCTGCGGTCCGGAGAGACCCGGGTCCCTTTCCCGCTAAGGGCAGGTACCTCGGTTGCAGTTTGTCCTCGGCCCTGGCTGGTCGTGCGGGTGGCAGCCACTCGATGTGTCTCTTTTACGTCGATGTTTCTCTCTCTCTCTCTCTCTCTCTCTCTCTCTCTTCCTCTCTCTTCCTCCCACTCTATCTGTGCAAAAAAATGGAAAAATGTCCTCGGGTGAGGATAAAAAAAAAAATTAAAAAAAAAAAAAAAATCAGAGGTCTCAGGTTCAAGTTCTAGCCTCTCCTTCCTACTTATACAACTTGGCGAACGTCCTTAACTTTTTGGACCTCACTTTCCTTATGTATAAAGTGGAATTGATAAGCCGTGTACAAGAGTTATGTGTGAGATGGTCTGAAATAATATACCGAAAGTGCTTTCTAAACCATAAAGTCAGGAAGTTGCTCTAATCCCTGCCCTGGTACACTGTAAAACCTCGGTGTGGGAACCATTTCAAAAGCTTCTCCAAGGCCCATCACTCAGTGGTTAGCACACAGGGAATGCTCAAGAGAGCACCATTAAATGACAGATGTCTCAGGTGCAAAGAATGTAGGCCCTTCCCCCCTCAGCCTTACCTCCCTAGTCGAACTCTCCACAAAGGGCCCCCCAAACATGGCAGCCATCCAGTCACAGCTAGAAATCAACAGGGGCTTGTGGGCGCTGATGGTGCCATCATCCAGGATGAAGGTCACATCTGTCCAGGAGGAGACAAAGCATCACGTGATGATGTGGTGAAAGGATGTGGGACAACCAACCCCATGGGTCAACACTGCACCCAGACGACACACTTCCTTCTGCAGCCACGAGCTGAGGAGTGCTATGTGACCACACCCTCAGGCTCCAGGCACAGCCAACATATCTCCAGGACATCAGCAGCTGAATGTTAACTGGACCAACCCAGGCTCCTCAGAAGGCTACTGGGAGGGCACCCCTCTACCTTCCGGCTATGAGTTCCTCAGCACATTCCCTACCTGAGAAGGTGCCCTTTGCCAAGCACTCCTTCACCCGGTTGGTCCGGCGGACGTGGAAGGCCTTGGTGATCTCCTGGTTCATGAAGGCCTCATTGTTGAGAATGTTGGCCACCATCATGCGAAGATCAAAGACCTCAAGCAGCTCAGCAATGTGGGCGATGTGCATGAGGTCCCGCTCGTTCTCGTCCAGCTCCCCTGTGTACAGGTACTTAAGGACTGCCCGGAAAGGCCCCGGCTGGATGGAACTGTCCATTTTTACCACCACCATTGGTCTGGATTTGTAGGTCAGTGGATCCTCTGCTATCTCCTCCTGGATGCTTATGAAAGCTCGGCTCCAGGAAGACAGCACACGACCTCTCCCCGGCAGGTACCCTGTTCCATTGCCCCGTAAGATCCCGTCGCTGGTTGAGGCCCGGAGCCCAGCAGGACCGGAGCCCCCACCCTCCTCCATGCTCTCGCACACATCAAAGCTGGCAGCCCGAAGCAGGAAGTCCCGACCATGGTGGTGGTGATGGTGGTGGTGTTGATCAGGGTGAGCCCGATGGTCCTCTGGGCGGGGGCCCCCCAGCTCCCCCTCACTCAGGTCCATGAGGAACAGGTCGTAGAACTTGGAGGAGGAGGTGGAGAGGTAGATCTTGTGGGCAAAGATGCGCACCCGCTCCTGCAGCACCAGGATGACATCCGCGCACAGCGGGTCCTCCAGGAGGTGGGCGGGGCACTCCTCACTGCTGGAGGGGGGGTGGGGCACCACGATGATGGGGGGAGGAGGCTTGGGGGGCAGGAAGGGTGCCTGAAGCAAAGGCCGCTGCACGTTGCGGAGGTGGGACTTCCAGAACTGCAGGTGGCGGCGGGAGATGAGGGCAGCACGGATGGCGTTGTCAAAGACGTCCTTGATGCCAAACTGGGCCACCACGCTGGTCTCGTAGTAGGGAATGCCCAGCTCCTTGGCCACCTCCCGACCCTTCTCCGGGGGAAGGATCTCATTGGGCTTGATGGGCCTGGACGTTCAAGAGGGCAAAGCAAAGTCATGCTGGGGAAGGATAGGGGGCAGGGAGAGGCAGCTCGCTAGGGCCTGCCTGTCCTTCACCAGGCTCCGGGGTGGTGAAGAGTCTCTGCTCAGGATCTATGTCCCTGGCCTCACTCCTACCCTGCTCAATTCTAATGAATCTCTGCCCTTTCTCCTTTTCTGACCAAATCCTACCAGTCTTTCAGGGCCTACCTCGAATCTCCTCTTCTTCCAGGAAGCCTTCGATGTCAGGACTCGGTGACCTCCCAGCTCGAAACAGTGTTAACACTAACTACTCTCTGGAAGTCCAGCATGCAATTTTCCACATTGATTTTTAACATGTTCTCATATTAAGTTCATCTCCCAGCAAGATATAAGCCCCTTTCACACAAAGACTGCTTCTTTCCTTCTCTCCTCGCTGCTTAGTCCTGTCTTGCTGACACAGTGTATAAGGTGAATGAACAGAGGAGCAAATGACATAAATGGAAGACCGAGCACTCTTGTTGGCTCCCTATGTGGACTTGTTTCAAATGAAGGGGGGGGTGTAAAGCTAAGTGGATTCCCTCAGGGCCGGGCAGGGAGCCATGGAGACACCTCCCCCTCCCTCTGTCTTCCTCAGTGCCCCTTCATAGGCACCAGCATCCCTACCTAGCCAAGGGTCGCCTGGCCCTATTGACAGCCTCCAGGTCGGCGTAGCGCAGGTCTAGCTGGCAGCCCACCAAGATGACAGGTGCTCGGGGGCAGAAGTGCTTGATCTCTGGGTACCACATGGTCTTGACATGGTGAAGGGAATTAGGGTTGGCAATGGAGAAGCACAGAACCACCACATCGGACCTGGGAGTGGGAGAGTGAGGTTAAAGGCAGAGAAAGCTAGCAGTAGAGTACTTGCCCCTGGAACGAGAGAGAACAGGCATACCCAACCCACCCCTACACCACAGTCCCGCATCTGTCACATGACCTGCTCACATATTACCCAAAATGCATAATAATAGTACTTCTTATTTATGTACCGCTAAGTTAGTGTTTTAGAGCTTTCAAAGACTCTCCTTTTGACCTCACTGTTACCTTGTTAGAATTACCATTTCTACCATCTTGAGGCTGAGAAAATCATTTCTGAACAGTTCCCCTAACTGCCCAGTCACAGAGCTAATCCAAACGCCCTCCTCTCACCTCTGCCTGCCTCCCCTGGGAGGGTCCGCCAGGCCTGTCTGCTCTACTCCTTCTCCCGGATGACATACCTCAGTCGCTCTGGTCTTTGGGAAAGCGGGAAACCCGCCCCTCGGCTCCCTCAGGCAGCAGAGGCTTCCCTACCTCCCATAAGCAAAGCGACGGTCTTTGTGGTGGTCTCCAAAGGTGTCCCAGAGGCGCAGGGAGACACTGACATCATCTACCACATCTCGGGAACGCTCCAGAACCTGTGGGGGCAAGGAGAATGTGATGGGACTCAAAGGCAGTTTGGGGGCCCCTGAGTGTCAGCTCAGGGTGGTGCCAGCTCACCCCCAAGGGTCCCAGGCAGCAGGGAGGGGGGACAGAGTTAGCACCTCCCTGTTTGCCCCACACAACCCTTCTACCCAGGTGCCTTCTCTAGAGACTCAGTAACAAAGGCATCCTGTACGCTGGCCCGGAGGACAGAGAATCTAAGAGGGCAGCTCGTCATAGGTGTGGAAGGGATCCCTCAGGGAGCCTGCCCTTGTTTCCAGCTTTACCTGCAAATCACCTATAAATGAGCCTCTGACCTGGTATGAACCAGCAGTTTCTTTCCTTCTCTCAGCTCTCATCTCTCCAAAACTCCCACCCCATCCCACCACCTAGTGTGCCCGTTACTGGGGCTGTGACTGCACAAGATGCTGTGCCCCAGGCATCAGGTCAGCCAAGCAAACCACAAATGGTGGAGGAACCCCCCACACACACACTCACTGGGGTGGGCTCCCCTCAGCCCTCTCTCCAGGGCTCCTGTCTCTTTAGCTACCCTACCCTACCCCATGGGCCTTCTGTGAACTCGGTGCTGGCCAGGGTTGAAGACACCAAGCAATGGCTTGGGAAGAAGCCCAGAAGCATGGTGTGGACCCCTGCCCAGTGGCCTTGAAGCCTTACCTCCTGGCACACCCGATACTGGTCGATGGCCCAAACTGTGGGCACATGGGTGGCAAGCAGCTGGTACTGGGTGAGGGTGGCATTGCAGGCCCGGGCGCAGATGAGCCTGGTCTTGCCCACAGCATTGTCCCCTACCACAACGCACTTGATGGTCTCTACGTTTGGCCTTTCATAATCCATGTCAAAATCCATTAATTGGGACCTGAGGGATAAGAGAGGAGCGGTCAAGATGGCTTCGCACACCAGTTCCCAGAGGGCCAGGGCCAGCAGCTCTCTTCAGCCGGGCCACCCCTTCTCCAGCATTTGAGCAGAGAGGTGGAGAAGGGAACGGGCAGCTTTCTGGGCAGTAGCTCTGTAAAGGCCTGAGTAGCCAGGAGCCCATTCAGGCTGAGAGGAGACTTTCCGCCGATGAACCACTTGTCTCCCGCTGGTTGACACCATCCTCCAACTGGGCTTCTGGATGGAGGAGGCCCATGAGAGAACCCCAGGTGAAGCCTGCCCAGGACCTGGCCCCTCTCTCCCAGAAAGAGGAGAGTCTGCCCAGGAAGCTCACTCATCATCCACTCTCCTCCCGCCAGCAGGGCTGTGGCAGCAGAACAACAAACAGCTGAGAGAAGCAGAGTCAGGGCCAGGTCCCACCCCTTCCCAGCATGCCCAAGGGCAGGGCCACTTTAAAATTTAATGGACTTGTCAGAGCTGGGAGGCAGCTCTCCTGGCCTCCACCTTCGCCTCTCTCCTTCTCTGGCTGAGGATTTCCAAGCTCCCAGCCCCTTTTATGGAGATGCCAGAATTTTCCCTCCCACCCTGTCTGGGTGGAGAGGCTCTGGAGGCACCTGAGCAGCCCACGGGCCTCCCACCCCTCCTCTGCGTCTGGCACGTGGCCGTGTGCCTGGCTCACTCAGCGGCAGGCCCAGTATTGAGATGGAGGTGGGGAATGACCATGGGCCTATGGCCATACACTCCCTGGCCAGTGGGCCTTGACATCCCCTACCAGCCTGCCCTCCAAGCATCCTGCAGCCAGCCTCAGGGACAGTGAGCCACACCCCCTTCTCACCTCCGGTTCCTAGGGAGGACTCTCAGGCTGGAAGCCCCCAGACACCTGACACTCCTAGAAGGAGGCTCCCTAAATTGGCTGCCTAGGTAATGGGGTTGCTGGGGGGGCGGAGCACAGGGTCAGAAACGGGCCTGAATTTCTGGGCAAATGCTTGCCCGTTTCTTTCTGTGCTGGGCAGAGAGGAAGCGGTCTGTCCACCCTTAGAAAGAGATGGCTCAAATGAACAGAAGGACCTCTGTAGCCAAAATGTCATGTCAGTGTTTAAAAAGCTGTCTCCAGGAGGGAACCTTGGTGTGAGGGGGCTTTAGCTGGCAGCCTCCCTGCTGGCATCCACCCTCTCAGAAGGTGGGGCAAGGCAGGCGTTATTAGGAGGCTTTATTATTAGGCATTAGTCTGCCCCTGCTCACATGCCCTGTGTGCATGAAGTCTGCTGGAGGCTGGAGCAACTTGGAGAAATCCTTCCTGGCCAAGGAAGGCTGAGCTCAGAAGAGTCCTGGAGGCTGCCCAGGTGCCCTCACTGCTGAGCCATCCAGCCCGAGAGCCAGGCCACCAGCAGCAACAGAGCAGCTCCATTCCTGCCGGGCTGTAACTGGATGCCAGCATGCAGGAATGCAGAGCTGAAATGTCCAAGTAACGATGGCAACTGGGATTTGCGCAAGTGGATGCATCTCAGCAACCTAAGCAAAAAGTGCAGCAAGGACTTCTCAATGAGAAAAGTGCCTCCTCCTTCTTGGAATTTTACAGGATCTGGACCCAGAACAACAAGGGTCTCCATTCAGGTCCCTTCCCGTTTCCAGGGTAACTGCCTGCATCATTCTTCTCCCTCCTCCACCCCCCTCACCTTCTCCAGTGGGCAACCTTTATTGTAACCACCATGATACCTCCTCCCTGCTCTCCCTCCTGAGCTGAGGACCAAGACCCTACTTGACAGCTCCTGGAATCAAGCAGGCAGCGGGAGGATGTGATGGCGCTGGGAGGAATCATCTGGGTTGTGGTTTCTGTTTTATCAATTAAAGGACAAAACAGATAGAATCCCAAATACAAATATATACAGCTGTTGAAGAAAAAGAAAAACCCACTGGCCAGTAGAACTTCTTTCTCAAATTTAGCTTCTAGTGGTAGGTGAGGGTAGGGGGCAGTGAGGAGGCATGGGGGAGGAGGATCAGTTCTTAAATCCAGGAGCATCTTGATGTCAGGGAGGATGCCGAACAGCAGAGCAGTGCTGGTCCAAGTTTATGATTAAAACCCTCACGCACAAGTGCATAAGCAAGGTGATGTTTCCTAAGGAGGTGGTACTGATGCTATGGCACCAGCACACATCCCAGCAGGTCATTTTCCTGCTTTTTGTCCAAACTTTGTATCAGTCCCCTCAAGGCTTGGTTTCCCTTTTCAGACCATCATGACAATAAAGATCCTCACCATCTGTGATGGAAAGATAGTGGGCTCTTTACAGAATATGAAACTGAGTCAGAAACACTTGAATTTAAATTGCCTTATGCATGTCCAGGGTTAAGGAGGGACAGCCACCTAAGTAGGAGAGGGACACACACAGTGCTATGACTTTAGACACCAGACTTGCTGGGTGCTGCTCAGACTTGATGGCCCTCCTCATCCTTCCCCTGCTCATCCTTCCACTTCCTCCCTATTTTCATCATTCTCTCCCCCTCCACCACTGTCCCAACTGCCTGACTGGTAAACTTCATTGTTATAGCTAGGAAAGAGCAAATCATTTCCCTTCTCTGGCTGTCAGTCTGCCCTTCTGGAAAATGGGTATGAGGGCTTTGGAAGAAAGTCTCCTGAATCTTGGTGACTCTGTGCCAATAGAGGCAGGGCTGAAAGAAGTCCTTGCCTTCTTATGTAATGTCGGATTATATAAGGCTAGATTACATATCTATATGTGTAATTATATCGCTCTTTAAGATACAGCTTGGCCCCATTAAGCCAGCAGAACTCTTAGTCTCATCAGGCCTGTCTTAAACAAAGAGCCTGTACTAGAGATAGTGTGCCACCCAACAATAATGTAATTTTTGCTCTAAAATATTGCTACTTTACTGTATCATTGATGATGTATGATGATATAACCCACTCAATAAGCTTCTCAACTTGCTCTTTCCTTCCGGCACTTTCTCCTTCCATGACTCTTGACTTTTGTGCACAATTGCCTCATCCCCATCCCTTCTGAGATTCCTGAGTAACTTCCATCAACTACAGCTTTCAGGCCACTCTGCCTTGGGCATCACAATTCACTCCTCTCCCTCAGGGACCCCAGAGTCACCTAGATGCTCCCTCCCACCCTGTCCCATGACCTCTGTTTCCTTTCTGAAAAGAGCCTCTTGCCCACTGCTCTCCTAGCTCTTTGTACTCAGGGCAGACCAAAAGGCAAGGTGTGCTCAGATTATCTACTACCCTGATGGGCTCCCAGTCCCACCTCTACCCCCCTACAAACACTCTTTGCTGAGCCCAGAAAAGGCCCCCTTTCCCTCCCACAGCTGATAGGAGGCTTGTTCATCTGTGGCTGCCCTAGTCTGGTTGTCAAGGAAACGACAGAATCTCCCTGGGAGCCTGGCTTGTTTCTTAGCAACCAATATCCCACACCCTGCATCTTACAAAATGCAAAAGGGAGCACTATGCTAAAAATGAAGGTAAAAATAAAGAAGGATGGATGAGAAGGATGGATCAGGAGGAGATGAGCAGGGAAGACGGCCTTTGAATTAAAGGAGGCTCCCACCAGTCTTTGACATTATAATATGAAGGAAGATAGAGAGAAACCCCCCTCCCCCCCGCAAAGACCCAGTGGTCAGCAAGGCCCAAAGGGATCTTGAATGGCCATATTAACAAAAATGCAAGCCTAACACAGATAACGCCTTCTCAAACACCACCAACCAATGCTAAGGATTTCTCCCAGTAGTTTGCCAGAACTCAGATGCACAGACTGCAATGGAGTTGGGTTGAAAAAAACCACCTCTGAAACGACAAGCAAAGCACCCAAATCCCATTGGTTTGTAACATTTCCACCACTTTGGACCTTTTCTCCTGACACGCTGCTCTGCACACACACATAAAATAAAAATAAAATAATTTTAAAGAGGGAAGGCCTCCACACACACGGCAATCAAGTCATTTTCCCTTCCCTATAAAAACCGGAAAAGATTAGCCTTCTGCCCCGAGACCCCGGCAGCTGACGCTACAGCCAGGGAAGAGTGGGAGCCAAGGGGAAGTCAGGTGGGGCGCAGACAGGGCCGGGAGGGCGCAGGAGGGCGAAGCAGCGCGTTCCCAGAGGCTGCTTGCAACCCGGCCATAACAGAAATTAATCATTTACTTACACCACTACATGTGACGGGGTGATTTCTAGTGTAAGGAACACATCTCTTCCTGCTAAGCACGCTCATTTTAGTGAAATGTCTGGGGTCACTCCGCGCGTGCAAGTTAGGACGATGCCGGCGCCGCCGAGCTGCGGTCGCTCCTGCTCCTGCTCCAGGCTCTGGGCCCCGGCGCGTTAGCTCAGAAACTCCGACAGAGCAGCCCAGGCAGGACGGCGGGCCGGGAGCGGCCGCGCGCGCGCCACTGCAGCCATCGCCTCTTCCGGATCAGCATCTCCCCGCGCCCCGGGCGCCCAATGTCATGGAGGCGCGCCGGAGCCGGGCTGCGCGCGGCCGCTCCGACCTCGGGTGGCTGGGCCGCGCCGCCGCCGCTGGTCCTCCGGCTGCGCAGGCTGGAGGCGGCGCGCAGCAGCGGAGATGGGGTCGAGGCTGCTGCTGCCTACGCTCGGTCCGCTCCGAAGGCGCGGCCGCCTAGACGCCTAGGGCTGCAGTCCCCGGGACCGCTCGCGACCTCCTGCTTTCATTCACAAAAAAAGGGAAAGGGGAAAGAGAGAGAGAGAGAAGGGAGAAAAAACGGGGGAGGGGTGGTGAAGCGTACCAGGAGGCTGAGTGACAGGCACCGCCTACCGCGGCGCGCCGTTGGTGGAAAGGGGGCGGGGGGCGGGGAAGGGGCGGGGAGAGAAGAGGATTGGGAGCCCCGGAGGTCCTGCCCGGCCCCGCCCATGGCGCAGGTCCCTCCCTCCCTTTTTCCCCTCCCGGAGGGACGCGGAGCGGGCAGTCTCAGCTCGCCTCTGGTGCGGGTTTGCGTCCCTCTACCTGCTGAGGCTCAAAACCTCGCTGGACTCCCAAGGGGTTTGCTCCTTCTCTCTGGGAAGCTGAGCTACAACTCCAAGAGGCACCCTAGTCAGCCCTAGAGGGGATGCGAATTAGAGGAGGAGAACTCGACATTTTTTCCCTGAAGCTTAAACCCAGTCCTCCACTGCTGGCCCGTGGGGCGAGGGAGACAGTGTTTCCACACACGCCTTCTGCCGCCGAGGGTCTTCTCCCTATCGCCACCCCTGCAGCGGCAGCGTGTGCCTGATACGGCCCCTAGTGAGTCTTAGGGTAGGTCCTGGTGCCATCTGCACCGGTTTCCCGTCTAAGTCTAAGCTGTCTCCCCCTCCTTCTTCGCCAGCAGTTCCACTTCCATCCCACCTCTATCCTGTTGCCGCCTGGAGTTCACCAGTATCTTTTGACCTCTGAAAGAAATACCATGAAGATACTATCCCTGAAGATAGTACATAAGACACCTCTGGGCTCTCTGTCTCAATTTACTCCTCTGGAAAATAGGTTATAAGAGATGACATTTGTAATATGAGTGGTCCTCAAAGCAAGTTTTGACGTTCAAAACTAGTTTGATTATAACAATGTTGACTGCTGGTAATGACAGTAGTTAGCTTAGTCTGGTTTTATCCATCTTTTCGATTATCTCTGATCAATTTTTTAAGCCCAGAGTGACATGCCTTTCACGTAACCCCCTCCAACACACCTCCAACTTGTGCTCCAAGAATGCAAACCCACTCTAATACTACTTTATGCATATTATGATTAGAAGAGAAATTCATTGCCCCCAAAACCAAATAAAAAGTGAATTTTGCATAGTCTGAAGCATGCTCCCCATCTATGAATGAATATAACTGGAAATTGCCCATCAACGCATTTGTGATAACCATGCTTTCCAGCCTGGTCCACATTCTGTTTGTGTTGAAATGGTGGAGGATGCTTTCCTCGCCTCCTTTTGAACCTACCTAGAGCTGAAGAAAATGTTAGGAATGAGTGAGGGTGTGCTATTTCACACTTCCAGCTAGGACTCACTCTCCATAAAACAGAAAACAGTGTGTTGAATACATGCTTAGGAGAGAAACTAAACCATGTTCAGGTGTGTTCTTTCTACATGTTCAGCGTTAAAGAACCCTCAATTCTCTGAGTGCTAGAAGTCACTTCTTGGTGCTACCATATGAAGGGAGGCTAGGCAGAGCCTCTCCTACCAACACCCGGTTTCCCTCACGCACCTCCAGAGCGCAGGCCTATTGTCTTCACCTTTCACACATCCAGGCAGCAGGCATAGCTCCAGTACAGCACCGAGCAGAAAACAAAATGCCCTCCCTTCAAAGTCAGGGGGCTACTGGGCCTGCAGCTATGGAGCCAAGGCCTTCTCCCTCCTTGTAGAAAAAGCCAGCTCAGCCTGGGAACCACAGTGCCCAACCAGACTGAACTATGGGGGTTCAAAAGTGTAAGTTTGGCCAAATAAAGCTGCACCCCCTGTTCACATTCTGTAAACTACCTCAAGCAGAGCCAGGTGCTCTGCTGGGGGGAGGAGCCACCTCCAGCCCTGCTTTCTGCCTACAATCCCCTTTCAGCTTTTCTTCAAACCAGAGTCCTCCCAGACTACAACACCTCTCAGGCATTCCCAGTCACAGCCCCACTCAGCTCTTTGCCATTGTCACAGTCTCTCAAAGTCCCCTCCTCTAAAACCAATTCTCTCTCCACCTGCATGCTCCTCAAGTCTTTATCACTGTTGAATCTTCACATCCATGGTTCATCCTGGGCCGTCTGGGAGCCTCCACACACCTCCCTCAGGCCAGTCTACGAAAACCTACCCTGTAGTTTCTCACTCCCAGCTCAGTGACTGGGATCTCTAGGCACCAGCTCCCAGCATTTTCCCCAGACCAGGGCAGTCGAAGGTTCTTGATGTGAGAAGCAGATCACCAGCAAGCTCCAGCCCTCAGCCTCTGCCTCAATTGTGGCTAATGCCAGACCTTCTCCGAACCCAGCTCTGGCCTTCAATTAACTCACCCCTTCCAGCTACTCAAGACAGACTCAGAATCTTGGCTTTGGGGCCAAGGATCTGCCTACAACATTTGCTTCATCTTTGTCCAGCCACCCGATGCCAGATTCCTGGAAAACAAAAACATTACCCAAGGCTGGGTCCCTCACCAGCAACCAAGGAGTTGTCAGTGCCCACTCCAAGCCCTGTCCCAGTCCCCAGCTCCCAGCCTTCAACAATGTCGAATAGCACAGACAGCTCCCTCACTCTCCCTTACCTTGCACGCCCACCCCACCACAGCTGCGGAGTCCATTTTCCTTGCTTCAGCTTACTTCTCAAGTCAGGCCTGGTGGGAGGCTTTTCTAGAAAGTTTCCTGGCGGCCTCTATCTCTGTTTGCCTCCTATAATCTTCTGTTATGTGTGCGTATCCCCCCCCCCCCCCCCCACACACACACAACTACGTCCTTGCCCATTTCTTTGGAGCGCTTCAGAATCAGCTGTTGATCCTCACTCTAGCTAGCTGGGCTTCTGTGCTGTCCTTCCACCGGTGGGCCTGGGCAGTCCTCTGCCTGGGCCTGGCTTACTCACCCCAGGGTTGGGGTGCAGGAGTGAGGGCAATGTGTGACTGCAGCCAGAAGGGCTACTGGCAGCCTGGAGGCAGGATTCCAGTCTGCCACCTCCCGTAACATCTCTTCTCTCACCAAAACCCTCTTGTGACTCCTTCCCAATGACATAAACCCCTTGAACATGTTGCCAAAAGGCATCTATCTCCATATCCACCCTCTTTAAAGACATCACACGGCTGCCATTTTCCTCAAGTCTGTGACCCAGATGCCTAGTCTGGGGAAAAAACTCTCCATCTTGGTTCTCGGAAAGGCACCCACACAGCAGGCTCTCAGCCACCAAGGCCTTCTGTCCCTGTGTCTCTGCAGGTCCTTCCCCAGTGCCAGCCCAAACTCCCCGTGCCTTCCTCCAACCTGCCTGTTCCATTTGCTTCGCAGGCATCTCCAGCCCCTCGACTATTTGCAGGATTCTCTCCACCCCTCTCAAGGATAAAACTTACTCCAAGGGCCTAGTGATGTGAGCTCCACCCCCTCTCCCAGTGTACAGAGTCTGGGGCACGTGGAGTTGACATCCTGTGCTTGGGCAAAGTTCAGAACAAGTGAAGATCAAAAGCACAGGCATCTCAACATGCTGAGAACCAGCAGGAGGAAGGAGTCAAATTGAAAACTGAGAGTCTCTTAGCTTCCATGCTCAGGGCTCAGGGGGCCACCAAGTCTCCACAAGGGGATAGGACCTACCTGGACCTTTGCTCAAACAGTTCCCTCAGCCTGAACACTCTTCTTCTTCCCATGTCCGGCACCTGGATAATGCTTACTCACCCTTCAAGTCTTAGTCTCTATGTCGCTTCCTCCAAGAAGCCTTCCATGAATATCCCCTATAAAGTCTGGCCTCTCTACCCTTCCTCTGTGCTCCCCTAGTAATGCCAATCACACTGTCAGTGGATCTCTCTCTCTCTCTTTCTCCCTCCCTCTCTCTTTCTCTCACACACACACACAAAACACACACACAGTACTGAGAACTCTTTAGGGAAGGGACTATGCTTGTTCAAAAGAGTACCCTTAGTGCTGATCTGGCAACAAGCACTCAATAGGTGTTCAATAAATGCTTGATGCTGAATGAATGTTTGGGTTGGGAAACTTGATAGGGGGGGAGTTGACACCACCCAGTGTCTACTTACATGCTGTCCAGAGAGGTCTTCCACAGGCTGTATTGGCCTTTTCGCCGGGTTGCCGTTGCTCCATGCTCCCTCTGGGCTCCTGGTCGAGCTGGACTGAAGGGGGTGGGAAGACAGTGGAAGAAGGAATGAGCACACTGTGAGTTACCCAAAGAGGCACAATGAGGTTGTCAGCCTAAACAGAGGGTCTTACTCAGAACAAGAGCATGGCTGTCCAATGGGCTGAGACACCCTGCCTAGGGGTCAGACAGAGGTCGCCCCAGGGAGTCAAGGAGCTACTTGAGGGACAAGGAATGTGGTCATGGTCCATGGCGTGCTGTGGGGCATCTGCACGTTCTGAACTGGCTTGGTGACTTGGAAAGAGTGGTCCCTTGCCCATCAGAAGGCCTGGATTCTGCCCTCATGCAGCTGTGTGATGTCAGACAATTCCCTCTCCTCTCTGGGCCTCAGCTTTCTTGTGTACAAGGTCAGGTGACCTCCAAGGTTCATTCCAGCACTGACATCTCATATAGGTTCCTAGCATGGAAGGCCTATATTTTATCAGTCATCCTTTTCATTAGAGCAGCTCCTGACCCAAATCGGGACTCAGCAAAATATCAGCTGATGGCTGCCAAGGCTGAGCATGGAAGAAGAAAGTATTTTTTTGAGGAGGATGCAGGCAGAGAGAGAATCTAATTCTGCAATCATCCCTCCTTTCAGTTTTCTTAAATGGTCAGTCACAATGCTGGCACTAGTTCAGCCAAAGAAAATTCTAGAATTTCAGGAGAGATAGGGAATAACCAAGGATGGACTTGGAGA